GTTGCCTTCCCGATTTGCGCATCTGACACTTGTTTCTTTATTTTGTCTTTTTTTGTGTGTTATAAATGTTGTACCCACCCCCTCTGTAATGCCCTACGGGCCCTGAGGATATTCTAATAAATAAATAAATAAATAATGCGCATTCTATTCCTACAATCCTGTCCTCCTTGCAACAGGATATAGCATGGGGCTCGAAGGTTCTTTGTGAACATGAAAACATTATTTCGGAGCTTTGTGCAAGTGGTTACCGCGTAAATGTAGATAAAACAGGTGGTCGTGAAAGAATAAAAAATTAAGCTGAAAGCGTGATTGGCACTGTGATGGCCCCATTTTTTTCACTGGCCTTTCGCTACAAGTGCTGACAGTGCTGCTTTCGAAAGAAGTCGCTGAGATAACCATAGCCTCAAAACATAAGAGGCTCAAAAGCAGCAACTTCCGCATTTCTGTACCAGCATAACTCCCAGAGCTAGAGCACCGTTATCAATCTGTGCTGGCGCTACCTTTTATCTCTAAGTGCTGTAACACACACACACACAAAAAGGCAGACACACTATCGTACCCCACCTGCGAAATAAAAGTATGGCATTTTTCTAAAAAGTGGATTACCGTTAAAAAGGAGAAGAAGGGCTTTTTCTGCCACCCAGTGATACGAGATTAGACTTTGAGCAGATGCGCTACGCGATAAGTCAAATTGCGTCACTCGTCTCACTTGTCACGTGAAATTATTTCGAAAGCCTGTCTAGCCTGCAGCTGCAACAATACGCTTTGGCGGTTCTTCATCAAAGGTAAACCTTCCCTCTAGAACGTTTTCACATATGTAAACTGGGCGAGATTAATATACACAAAAAGCACGGACTGTACCATTTGTTAACGCGATCATCATATTCATCAGCCTGACTACGTCCACTGAAGGACAAAGGCTTCTCCCATTTTCCGCCAGTTAATCTGGTCCTCTGGTTGCTGCTGCCGATTTATACACGCAAACTTCTTAATCTCATCTGCCCACCTAACCTTCTGTCTCCCCCTAACCCGCTTGCCTTATCTGGGAATCCAGTTGGTTACCCTTAATGACCAGCGGTTATCCTATCCACGCGCTACAGGCCCGGCCCATGTCCATTTCCTCTTCTTGATTTCAACTATGATATCCTTAACCCCTGTTTGTTGCCTAATGCACTCTGCTCTATTCTTGTCTCTTAAGGTTACACCTACCATTTTTCTATCCATTTATCGCTGCGTCGTCCTAATTTAAGCTCAACCCTCTTTGTAAGGCTCTAGGTGTCTGCTCCGTAGCAAAGTACCGGCAAGATACAGCTGTTATATACCTTTCTCTTGAGGGATAGTGGCAATCTACTTGTCTTAATTTGAGAGCGCTTGCCAGATGTGCTCCACTTCATTCTTATTCTTCTAGTTACTTCAATCTTCTGGTTCGGCTCCACGGTTTTTACATCCCCTAAGTAGACATAGTCTTTTACAACTTGAAGTGCACTATTACCTATCTCGAAGCGCTGCTCTCTTACGAGGTTGTTGTACATTACTTTCGTTTTCTGCAGAATATTTTAAGACCCACCTTTCTGCTCTCCTTGTTTAACTCCGTAATCATGAGTTGGAATTCGTCCCCCGAGTTACTTAGCAATGCAAGGTCATCGGCGAAGCACAGGCTACTAAGGTATTCTCCATTACCTTTTATTCCTAACTGTTTCCATTCTGGGCCCCTGAAAACCTCCTGTAAGCACTCGGTAAATAGCATTGGGGAGATTGTACCCTCCGGCCTTACGCCTTTCTTGTTTGGTATTCTGTTGCTTTTTTTATGAAGCACTATGGTATCAGTTGATTCCCTGTAGATTTCTTTCAGGATGTCTATAAATGTTTCGTCAACGTCCTGATGCCACAGTGTCTGCTTAACTGCTGATATTTCTACTGAATCAAACACCTTCTCGTAATCTATGAAAGCTATGTATAGTGATTGGCTGTATTCCACGCATTTCTCTATTACCTGATTGATAGTATGAATGTGGTCGATTGTGTAGTAGCTTGTTCAAAATCCTGCTTGTTCTTTGGTTGATTGAATTGTAATGTTGTCTTAATTCCGGTAGAATAATTACCTTTGTAAATAGCTTGTATACTACAGAGACCAAGCTGATTGGCCTCTAATTCTTCAAGTCATTGTCATCTACTTTCTCAAGTATTAAGATGATGTTAGCATTCTTCCAAGACTCTGGTACTCTTCCCGTTAGGAGACACCTCGTAAACAGGGTGGCTAGTTTTTCTAACACAATCTGTCCTCGATCTTTCAGCAGATCTGATATTACCTGATCCTCACCAGCAGCTTTGCCTCTATGTATGCTCTCCAAAGCTTTTCTGACTTCTATCATTGTTGGTGAGGTGTCATCTGGGTTAATGCTAGCTCTTGCAAAATTAAGGTCGTGGTTGTCCCGGCTACTGTATAAATCTCTCTAAAACTCCTCCGCTAATTTAACAATCCTATCCATATTGGTAGTTATTTTGCCTTCTTTGTCCCTTAGAGCATACATCCGCGTAAACGACAAGAGGAGATAGAGACGAGATAGAGCACTGATAAGCATCAGCACTCTGTCTCGTCTCTCTTATCCCCTCCTGTCCTTTGCGCTGTTGAGTACTCTTTATTATGTTATACCAACACTCTCCATCCCACTTTCTATTGTTAACGCGATAGCGTTAAAAAGCTCGTTTCTCAGAAATTTCGGCGTCGGCGATGACGGTTATGAGTGAAAAATATTCTTATGCGTGACCGCGAAATTGTGAACGATGCAATTAAATGAATAAAAAATACTGGAGCATAGTGGGGAACGAACCAGGGTTGTTTGGGCTTAAGTGGGGATGGACCCTGGGTGGGTTTGCGTGGAAGGCGGGTGTTCTTCTACACGGCCATGCCTCTGCCTGTGAAAACAGTGAAAAAAACTTCCTCTGCTTGGCAATCCAGTGAAAGCAGCATTAATGCTTCACAAGCACACGCGTTCTCTGTATGCTTCACAATGCAACGTGAAATAGTATTTCAGTAATATAGCGTGGTACAAGCGTTATAGGCCAATGGGCGCCAAAATATGTGATTATAATGATGGCTCGGTGGTGGAAAGCTGCTACCCCACTTCAAAATGCACACACGCTGGCCAGGTAGTGGGTGGATGGCAAATTCAAAAAGGTTTCGTGCACTAAATGTTTGAAGTACGCACTACAAACAGGGTGTCGCTGTTGTGTTCAACTCGTGGAGTCCCCTCTAGGGTCCCTTCTTTTTTTCGTGTTACGATGTGGCTTGTATCATGCTACGAAGCTTTTGTTAATTCCGACAGTGCAAGGCTAGGCTAGGCACATTGTCGGCCTCGCAGAGAAGTCACGGCTGTGCTGAATGCCTCGGTGACATAGTGGCCTATACTCTGCTTTTCAGAAGCCAGCTTGGCTAACAGTCGAAGAAACAAGACATACACAGCATCCCTTGTACATTATTAGAAGAAGACGAAGCAAACAGCAATCTTCATAGTTTAGATGGGAATAAATTTAAGGTCCCGCGCTATCGTATGCTGCAGTACGCTGTCATCTCTTGACGTTGTGAAGAAGAAATTAATTATTATATCATGACCTTTTGAATCATACTTAGCGCCCGCTACGAAACTGCTGTCATAGCACCTTTATGGATATCTTTCATCGTACAAGCTGAAGCTCTGGAAAGAAAAATATACATTAGAGAAAAGCGTTTGTGGTGGAAAGCCAGACTGGTTCACGACTCACAGCTTCTATGACGCCACACACAGTGGCCACTCTGCGCGTCCGTTAACTCAAACTTATAGGATCATCAAGGTCATCGCAGGCCAGCAAGTCGTCCTTTTCACACCCCACTCACTCGTTCAATGGGCGTAGGGGGGGGGGGGAGGGGGCAGGCGAATTGAGGATTGCCTGGGTGGTCCATGTAGTGCGTGTTGGTGCGAGATTGTTAGAGCACCATCCGCAGCGCACTGGAATGCATTGCGTTGGATGCATAATAGAGAGAAAGTGCAGGCTTTCATCACAGGGTATGTGCATGCGTTCAGGTCAGCATAACATGCTTGAAAAAAAAAAGAAAATTTTCAGCTCGGAGTGTTGCTGGAATAATCGTTTCGTTCGAGTGGTCTTGAGATACGAGAAGGCGGCAGCTGCATACCCTTGCACGTGTATGTGCATTCTTCGTATACTCGCCCTCAAACAGAATGGTGGAGGTAAGTGACACAACGAAGGTGGTGTTGGAGGTGGGGGGAGGGGGAGACAGGTTTGGGTATAGAGACAGGCTGGTGTACATAGTTGGATAAGTAAAAGAGAAACAACTTAGCCATGTGTATTTCTTTTTCAGAACCAAGACCGTAAAGAAGGTTTGCGTTCTGCTCAGTCATTTATGTCACAAGTAAAGAGCAGCTAAAAGTATTATTTTTGATGCAATGAGAAGGATTCTAATTCTGAAAAAGAAAAAGCCTCGAACATCAAACGTTCTTATAATGTACCTATCATATAGGATCGATTAAGTTCCATCCTCTAAGAGATAGGTCTTATGGAGGGTCTTGAGTTATTCACAAATTTATTACACTCATGAACACAGCTATCAAGTTTTTAAATATAGTTGCACTGAGTACTGAGTGTAATGGTAATGAGTGTCCTGCAGGATGACGAATTGTGACCGAGAAGGTTCTTCAATAGATCACATCAGAGATTATTCCACAGTCACCAAAGCAGTACCTAAAATAGAAACGTTGAAAATTTGAGATCAAGTTTGCTGGAGAACTAGGCATGCACTGATGGAGGATGGTCAAGAAAAAAGTGTTGAAAACATGATGTTATACAATAGTATCATGTCTGTTACGTAAACTGAACTTAATAATTTCATCTAAGAATGCTGCTAATATGTGAGTGCGACAAGCTGATGATCATTTATCCCGGTGTTTTGATGCAAATAAGGCTTTAATACTGACTCATTGTTTTGTGTTTTACTGAAATAACAGTACCTTCGCATGAGATTCGACAACAAGGTCGGCATCACAGCCTGCGTCGTCTACTTTGTCCTCAGTGTGAGTAAATAGGTTAGGTGTTTTACTTACGTATCTATCATGTGTACTTACATCCACATAATCTGCATACAATTACAAAGCAATGGAACACCATTTAGCTTTAGAAACAACCTAAGAAAAATAAAACTCATCATTATAATTTTCGTAAAGCAAAATCAGTTTACTTTCCCAGTTTTTTCTCATTTATTTTAATGCTTCGAAACCATTCTGTCAAAATATGCAAATTGAGTTATGCCCGACAGGTGTTCCTTTTTCTGCAACCCGTTAAGTTGGATGAAATTGCCACTGTACTGCTTTATTAGCAGCCGAATGAAAAAAAAATTATTTACTAGTGGACGAATGAAATATATGAACGAATAAAATATTTTGTTGTAAAGCTATGTAAGCGTATCATATCTTCATCTCTCTTGTGTAATGCTAGCGTTGTTTTGTAGTTGTTTGTACTAAAACTTGTACCCTCTTCTGTCACGTATAAAAACCAAGACAGCACTATTTATAAATAAAATATTTATAACATTTCTTTATTACAGCAAAGCGTCGGTGCTGTTGGAATTTTCAGTTCTGCCATTGCGGTGTCCACAAGTGGGTACATGTCCTTTTTATTTAAGGAAACTCATTTCGAAAGTGTCAAAATATTAGAGGACCCTTTAACTTCAAACTAAACAAAAAAACTAGAATAATTTTATGTGCCCAAGTAGGCCAAAATATTGTTAACAATCAGCTCTCGTGGGTTAGCGAATATGAGTGTTTTTTATTGTAGGGGTAAGTGCAACACGTGTCTGGATGTTTTACAACGCGCGTAAGAAGATTTTCACGTTACTTATGTCATGACCAGACAGCCGTATTCACCAAATGTCGTACCATTCCCGTGCAAATTCGGTGCGTAGAAAGTTGAAGACGCGACCACGAGCGCACGCAGACATAGGCAGCCAGATTAGTAGATGGATGCGTATATTGAAACACTCGGATGGCCTGTAGTTCGCTAGAGCAAACTAAGTGATTCAGAGATCAAGTGCTTCGCATTTGATAGCTGAATCACTGCTTCGAGTGAACAGATTATGTTCTTGTGGGTGTGTGCCGTTAAGATGGATCGTGCCCACTGCAGAGTTGTTTTCTTCCGTGTACCGTAAGACTTGCTTGGAGAAAGTACCTCAAACGCAAGGGGCTTAGTGCTAATAAATACACTTAGGTAGAATGTCAAGGCCCCTTAATTTATGCTGCTCTTTGTAAGCGGTGATGTTCCATATTGCGTCGACGAATTCTCGTTGAGAGACACGAACATTCTCTATTTCGGGCATTTTCCCCTGCAGGCGTTGACGAAATTGCCAGCATATTTCCCTGCAATACAATACTACTTTCCGGCTCCATCCATCCATCCATCCACATCCACACACACATCCCCACACACATCTCTCCCCCCCCCACACACCCCCCCCCCCCACACACACATGTCTGACATACTGGCGACTTTCGAAATCATGACTAGCCGCTCCACTGCCACACAACAAAAGCATTCCTATATTCATATACTGTTAGTACACTGCACATTGTGGCGTTCAAGTCTGACACCAATAGTGAACTGCAAATCATTACGTGTAAATATAAGAAACAAAGCTCAACGGCCATGCTTGCGTGGTACATGTGCCAGAACCGATTACAGCAGATGAAGGCACACTGTGACTATTAATTTTAGGTCGTGATACATTGAAGAATTCAACAATTCCGGAAATTCCCTGCAATATGAAGAAGGTTTCCTTTTTACCTTTGGCTCGAAATGACAGGTAGAATTCTGTGAAAAAGAAAATTCTGTGCACGGAACATCACTGTAGAAACAGCTGCCCACTACTATTCTATAGAAGAGTGCGCGGTACAAAATGTCCTTGTTTTCTTTTTTTTTTGCTGAAAACACACATATCAGGAAAAACCAAGTCAACCAAGACAACAAAGACCATGAATATTCACAAATATTCATGGTTAAACTCGTACATGATTCCAAACAACAATTTTGACTCACCACGAAGATGGTAGCGCCCTACTAATGTAGATTATGAAGTAATTTCAATCGTTTCTTCTTAATCCTAAAACCATTATTCAGTTACAACTTATCAGCGCATTCATAGCAACATGTTTCATTGCGGTGATAGCAGCTGATGAAGTTCAGCACTAGCCAAGATGTATATTGCAGTGTGCCTCCAAAGTGAAAAATCTGTGGGTGGAACCAACTGAACGCTAGGGACCAGCGAATTCAAATGTTCGGTGGTGGGCGAGCTTTAAAATATCATCGTAGGCCTGAACACACCTGCGATCACACAAAAATGGACCTCATATACATCATGAACTGTGATACCCCACCTTCGTACGTAAATGTTTCACAAACATGGCATGGTCACCTGTAGATGCACCCTTAAACGCATGGCTCATAGCTTTGCACGTGTTGTTTACAGTGTGTTGAAGCCATAAACTTTTCGCTAAGGTTACTACACTCGTGTTTAGTGGCCGTATTTTCGAAAGCAGTGGACTGCTCGAATCAATTCGTGAAACTTCCAATTGGTTTTTTTGTTTGTATATATATATATATATATATATATATATATATATATATATATATATATATATATATATATATATATATATATATATATATATCTATATATATATATATATATATATATATACAGCGTTACGGCAAAAGTGTTTTGTTTCTTTCTAAATCAACTCACACCGTTTTCTCTTACCACCGTGTTCCGATTAGAAACGTTCGCAAGTGTATAGTCAGTGACAGTTTACTGCTTTTTCTTATTATAGTAGACCGCCTACGTATTCGTTATCTTTTCAAAGTGCGAACCTGTATTCCAGCAGGCTTATTTTCGTAGCTTTGCTTAATGTATTTTCAGCGTGATCAGCATACCGCTTTCGCACAATAGGGTGCGTAAAATTCCAAGTCGGTAGCATTGTACCTAAGTTTTTTTTTTTACAACACAGCTTTGTTGAACATTTTTTTAAGAGCCGGCTCACTCGTCTCAGTTGGCAGCGGTGAACCCCTAAAACGGCCATCCTTGTAGACACATTCCACGCTTGTAGGCAAGTGACGTACACATGCGGTCGTTGATGTGCAGTAGGATAAGATGCGTAGGTGGCAGCCACCTGCAAGAACTGAAATCAGGGATAATTTGTTGGAATTGAGTATTTAAGCACACTACTCATGAAAGAAAAAAAGACACAAGCGCTAACTATACACTAAGGTCATTTTTTAAAATCAAAACCAATTTGTACTGCCGCAGTAAAAAAAACGATACTTTCTTAATAACAAGGAGCCTTTTTCTATGTCACAGAAATAATGGACAAATGCACAGTACACAACATCATAGGCTTCTGTAACAACATAATGCGAGCGAATAGCGGCGCCGTTATAAACACTGCAAACTTGAAGCATGTGATTACGTTACGCATGCTCAGGCCTAAACATTCATGACGAGGAAAGTAAATGTGCCAGGCTAGCTGCAAAGAGAGCTAACTCACAAACGAGAAGGTTCAAGGAAACCTGGCTGACACACACAAGAATGTTCTATTGAATGAAAAAATAAAGCTTCCATGGCCTCTCTTGACACGTTATTACCGTTGCGCTATACAACACTGCTGTATTATTAAAAAGCGAATCAAGACGACAATACTGTCAGTGTATCGGTATGTGAAAATTTGGGGACACTTGACTAGAAAAAAAAAAAATCAAACCCCACCCCCAACCCCCTAGCCTCTGTTCCCCAAGATAGCAAAAGGATGGTCTGAAATTAATAACATTCTTTGATTTTCACCACTCTCTTCATGTACCGAGTTCATGCGCCCAAAAATTTTTACCACAACGGCAGTCGAGGTCGCATTATATCGCATTCAAAGAGCAGTGTGTACCTTTCTTCTCAAATCACACGCCCAACTCGAATGACCGGGGCCCAGAGGCGGGCCGCTGTAACGCACACGTTATTGATTCACTTTAACTTTTGAATTCTAAAGCTTCTTTTATTTTCGAACTATTCCATGGGTCATGAGGTCACTGGGTTGGAGACAAAAAAAAGTGAAACATTGCTTTTCCGAAAAGAAAAATATCTGCATGCCTATACATGCGATCAAATCACCGCATCGGTCATTCATTCACTCTGAAAGATAGGGCGTGAAAACGAAGAACACAAGAAGAAAGTCGGGATGCCCCAAACGCCTATTAACAACTGAAGTCAATTGATTGGTATTGTTAATCTTGCTTTAGGCTAGCACACGTGTGACGAAAGACTAAGGCAATTTTCTAGAGCTTAACCGTGGAACCATTTGCTTTTCGAAATAAAACTCCCAAGAAAATTTCACAATACACGCAAATGATACCGCTTCTCGAATAAAGTGCTTTCTTTAGTTTCTATTCATATTTAAAAAAAAGTTCTCTTGCACGGTTACTTTGTAATAACTATGCGTTCGTTGTTCTTCAGTACAATTTTTTTAATGTGTGCATAGGTGTCCGCTTATGTATGACACATTGGCTATTGTTCCTTTTTTACGCAGAAGAATGCTGATTAGAATAACCTTCACCGTAGTGGACCTATCACTAGCTGCTTAGGTTTTTGGTCTAAGTAACTACGTACGCATTTTTGGTATATTTAGTGCAAAAAGTTGTGCTTTGATAGATTTTTTTTGCTTTGATCATATCTAAAAGCGATCGAACTCATTTGTATGCAGCTCAAGTACTCCGCACATTTGAATTCTTATATCTCTTTACCATTCTCCTAACTCAATCCTTAAGACATAGGTGATTTTTTCCCCTACACTGGGCATATCTCGTTTTTCTTTGTATTTTTGGGTTCTTCCGGTGAGAAGACGAAACTAGATAAGCTTGTACAATGCTTGCACACTCCGCTAATTAGTACTATCACTATTGTCTTTGCGTTTCAGTGTTTCCTATACCTGTATTGTACTCGAACATTGTCATCGGTCTGGCGGGAACAATTTATACCGCTCTGGTAAGTTATCTGTGTTCACCTATATGCAAAATAATATAGTGGTAATTATGCTGAGCTGCAAACATTACAGAAAGCACAAAGACTTAAAAAAATTACCCAGTGAGGTCACTACAGCTGGCGGTCAAAGCAGCAGTTGTTAGGAGCAAAATTTCAGACAGGGTAACAGTTATATGAAAATTGAAGCCAGAGCATACAGCAGAGCATACAGTTGCTGCGTTAGGCCTTACCTACATCCTGCGAATAACAGGGTACACCGTTACAGTTCTTCCGGTATAAGTGAAACAACGGGTGCAAAAGTAAAGCATTGGGGAGCAACTGCTATATCTTGTAACTGTACTTTGGCAACGGAGCCTTCGCTGCGTTGCCAAGAAAAGTTGTCCTCGAGTGCGGCTACTTTTAGCTTTATTTGGTACTTGACAACTCCGTCGGCTCAGTCGGCTTTGAAGTGGAGACCACGTCTGTTGGGTGTCAGTTTGATTGGTACTAAATATGTAGTGCTAAATGGACATAGTAATGAACTATGTAGCATGCGCTTGTCACGTTTTCATTAGTTCATCAATAAGACATCCTGCATAATTAGCAACACTTCAGTGTGCGTGAAACTAATATTGTAACTAGTAGGCACGATGGTACTTAGTGTGAATATAGTATTGACTTAACTCTCCTGATTTTAATCATTCAGTACCTTATTAGCATCTTAGTAATTAGCATGATATCAGTTAGCATGGTTCTAGCTTTACGCTGCATCATTAGTACTTGTTTTTAAGATGCGACCTAATTGACTCGGTGTTACCACGTCTTCGCCAAATTAGTTGTAGTCATAGCATACACAAACATAATTAGCTAGGTGTACCACACAGCAAATCAGCTAATCAGGAGGGCGCATGTTCTCATGAAGAAGATGAAGACGATGACGAAGAGGGCGTGCGCCAGCTGAGCAACGCGTTAGAATGTACAGCCTAGCATGATGATTACAAACATGGCCTCGGTGATTCGCTATGACCGCGGTATTGTAATTCGCTTGGGCAAAATTAATCTGAAATGTCCCTATGCTGAATAATATAAAGCAGGGGTAGCAACCTTTTCAGGCGGAGGGCTAAAGTGGCTCAAAGCCAACACAGCGGGGACCGGAAGGTGAATCAGGGGAGGGCCGAAAGTCGACAAAAAATTGGGGCACTTGACATTAACGCATAAAGTTGAAAGGTAGACATGTCTATTTTCCGCACCATGCCAGAAGGTTGCGAATCACAAGACCACACGTGAGGTCAACACTGTAACCTTGCATATGAGGCGACCAGTACAAGGGGGTGGTGTTCTGGCCTTGTGTCGCGTTATACCACCGCCCGGCCTGCATGTTATCGACCCCTGATGTAAAGAATACCTACTCCCGTATTCAGAAACGTTCGTTGACTTGATATGCCACTGCCTTCAATGCTGCGTGTTCTAAAACGCGTCTGTGCTGCCTCGGCACCGCCTAAAGCAGCGTGTCAGAAACCCTTCGTGCTGCATCAAAGGCGGTGGCAACTGAAGTTCAAGTCAAGGAGCACTTCAGAATACGAGGATTAGTGCAGGCAAGCATAGCTTAAAAGAAAAGCTAGAGACCATGCCTCTAGAAGTATTGTTATTGAACGTTTCCGACACGTTTGATGCACGGGTGTACGTCTGCCCCAAGTGGAACGAAAAACAAATGAAAGAATATGTCGCATATATGAAAACACCGCTCAACTTTGCCGACTGCCCTTGACGTGACGCTGCCTTCTACCATATTCATTCGAACGCAGTGAGGGCTGAGGGATGGAATTGGTCTACAGGTAGCTCATTTCAAAAGGGCTGTTGCTAGAGCTCGAAAATATTCCGGGTTTCTTCAAACGCGGGTAATCTTGCGTAGCATCACAGTTGTCTCGCATTAAATGTAAGGTAAACGAAAAAAAATATGTAGGAAATAAGAAGAACTAACCATGAGAAATTCAGAAAAATTAAGCGTAAAGTTCACCCCTCCTCTCTAAGCAAAAGAGTACAAGACATAGCTGGTCAGACACGTCAAGGAGCTGAGTAGAGGCTTCAAGACGTCAAATGATGCTTAGGTGATATCACGAGACAAAATTACAGGAAGTTTTGGCAATGTAATGATTGCTTTTGTTTGAACTTTTGAAGTTCTTAGCTAGAGACCATATCCGTCAGCGTAAACTGCTGAACAAACAACAGGAGAGGAACGAACCATGTAGGAAAGGGCAATTTAGCAACCGATGGAGGCGGGAAAAATGAGCTCCACATTTAATTACACACACGCGGCGAATATTCATGGTTAAACTCTACGAAATAGCAATATACCGCCGGTATTACAGTGCTGGTCAAGGTCTAGTGTCTGTATATATGGCGTGGCCAGTGAACAGTTGCTTCCATTGTCAAAAGAGCGTTTCCATAGTCGGCGTGCACTGTTTGCTCTCTTCCTCTCACCACACGGCAAGTGCTGAGGCGTTGGCGCCTTGTCGTGCGCTTAAGCAAATGGACCGTCACGACAGCAAACGACAATGCCCACCTCGAGAGTATACAATGACGCACGCCACCACACCGATATCTTATGGTGCGTCATCCCTAAAATGAGCAGTTGCGAAGCACTGAAACAGTGTTCATACTACAGTGACCGGACTCTGGTGAAGTCAATCAAGGCATTTAGAAAACGAGAGGAAACCAACGTGGGACTATTATGTGCTTTATTTTACTTAATTGGGTCGCACACTTTCAGCTTTCCTAGCGCATGAGGTTTCACTACCCCACCATTTGTCGGCTTCCTTAATTAAGGTATAAGGCATGCGTGCACTTCGGTGTTTATGAAACATTTGGCTATGCGATGCTTACGCAACAACAATTTGCACTGTTCACAGTGCTCCTGACAGCTTCGCTCAGAAATCCGGCAGTATAAATTGCACTAGCAATTGCAGAAAATTCGAAAACTAGGAAAACTGTGGCAAAAATCAATTTGAGGTATTTAGCTTATAGTCCACAAAATGCACAGTTCACTGTTAGTCTAAGTTGTCGCTAGTATAATCACTTAGGAAATTGTTATGTGATTCCGGATTGCAACTTACTAAGTAAGACATTAAGGTCTTCATAGACCAAATGGTGGTGACTCAATCGAATAGCGAATTTTTAGTATCTAAGAATATTTCAGCTGAACACATTGGAAGGCTAGTTTTTTTTTTGTTATACGAGCTTGTGTCACAAAATGAGGGTCACGCGGCGTCCCATGTCCAATGTCCTACATGTAGGATGGTGAAACTTTTCACTGCAACTCGAATGCTTTTCCCGTTAAAAAAGGTAGAGCCACCCAAGGTGTGTTTACGTTGCCCTGTCTTCGTCACAAGCAAGTCAAGGTGATCGTCGGGCTACGTATAGCCACGTGCTTCCAGTCACAAAATGGCTATTTCACGTTAATATAGCTGAGCACCATACGGCGAAAAAATCGTGTATAAGTAATTTTGAGTCAAATTCTTCTCGATGCTGCTGATGTTTCTGTGAATCGTTCGTCAGTTATTGGGCTTGCAGTAACTTTCGTATGCCAGTGATGGACGATAATATTTGTTCACGGTGTACCAAACGTAGGTGTCCTACATACAGAACGGCTCCAAAACCGTTGCTCTAAAGATTTTTTTTAAAATAAAAGCTTTATTCTGTTTTTGAGGTCATTGAAGCAATCATTTTGGGGAAATAAATTACTTTTGTGAATTTTTCATGGTTGGTCATATATGCGTTAATTTCGGTGCCATTTTGCCATATAGGGAGGACTTCGTGGAGTTGTGTGGGCCGACTGCGCTCAAGCTTTTCTTATGTTTTTGTCGCCCATAGTCATCATAGCGAAAGTGCTCTACGATTCGAGCAGCGTGACACCAACGCTACGTCCCATGAGTGACGCAAACATCACAGATTTTGCTTTTCGGTAAGTACAGGGACTATTTCCTAAATTATGTAATAAGTGTCATTACCACTCATACAAGTATAAAATAGTTTTACGTCTCGTTTATTAATGCATCTGAAACAAAATCTCTTGTAGAAGGCAGCATTTTTCAGGTTATGGCTATATTCCATGCGTTACAGCGTGCCACTTGGATAGTGAGGGGGGCCGTAGTAAAGTAATCTCAAGGTCCTAAGCAGTTATTTGCAGAGCCATCTGCTGGTATACGCAATTTAAGCATTCAGAAATGAGGACTGACGACTGCAATGTGATTGGGTGAGACGTTTGAGAAGTTTTTTCATGCTAGCAATATGCAAATAATTGTTTCTAGTAGACGTATGTGTAAAGACTAGGGCGCAAAACGAGCATATGGGGCTCATGCGGGCTTTGAAAGCTGGTTCATAGTTTCTCATTTCAGCATAATGTTGTGCAATATACTTTCACTGTACTTGCGTTTTTTTTTCTGCAGAAACACAATGGGGAGCTGAAAAAAGCTGAAACACTTCAGCCCTTTCTGTTCGCGAAAAAGGCACATTATATATTCATTGAATTGTCTTTCTTTTGCTCAACTACTGCATGAAAAGTAAGAGATGAAGGAAATATAGTGGTAAATCAAAGAGTATGTCCATGAAAGTAACAATTGAACAGCAGACCACACAGACACTTATGCCGAAGAAGGAAGTGAAATGCTTGAAGCAGATAATTATTCTTTCCACTGTATATTAAAAGCGCAATGCTACAAAGGTTGAAGCCAGCAGTCTTGCTGCTGTCGTACAGAGAATATAATGTTCTACGAAATATAAATCAATTTATGATCTTTTAGGAACACACTATGCCATAGATTTGGTCATGAGGAAACGTCCTACTGTTGTTAAGGCGCCATGTAACCTAAAAAAGTGGCAATTTGTTTTTACTCTTGTAATGAAGCAGCAATGACGCCGCGAACTTTCTCAACTCATACTGAAGCTTGCTCAATGTCGAGACCCTCATCGTGAACCTTAGAGTCAAGAATTGCTATGAGAAGGCGTTGAAGTATGACAGAGAACATCTCAGTAACAGTTTGATTGTATGAAAAGCTATTATTTTTTATATGGCTGATAAGTGAACAAAATAAATACAAAGGGCACGTTTTTTTATTGCATGAAAACATTGATGAGATCTCACATACTGAGTTCTCCTCAACATAGCGCTTGATCACTTTATTTGGAAACGAGACGAAGCTTCGATAGCAGCTTCCTAGACAAAGAACAACTGCACTAGTTTCTTACATATGTACGTGAAATAAATACGTAGGCAATATTTATTGTACGTCTTGTCTCATAACACCTTCCTGAGATAACTGGCATCTTTCAGAAGAATTTAAGTATCTTAAGAGTGAAGAAGACAGTCCCAGGCCAGCAATACTATAGAGCGTGAATACTTTCGCCCGTTACTTCATTATAGAACTAGCAACCCATATATAAAGTAGTAGTATTTGAAATTTTTTATAATATTACGCAAAAAATGTGATCGACTTATAAACAATGCCTAATCAATTTTATAAGTACAACAGCGAAAAAATGCACTAATTTTTATTTTGTGTGTATCACGTTCTCCACGTTTTTTCAATATCCTACTAAGGGTGAATTTCGACATTACGACGGATGAAAACTTGTGGAGCGGATTGGCAGGAGCGCTGCCATTCAGCCTCGTACGAACAGGACTCGACCAGATGGCAGTGCAGCGATTCATGGCAGCCAGGACGCTACGGGATGCAAAAAGGTTAGCGTGTGATTTTTTTTTTTGTTGTCGCCAAAGAAGGAGCGCCAATATTGAATAATATAGATATATGACACACACACACACACACACACACACACACACACACACACACACACACACACACACACACACACACACACACACACACACACACACACCACACACACACACACACACACACACGTGGAGGGCACAAGTTTGTGCTCGTCTCTTGCTTGCGCATTGTCCAGTTTATTAAAGAAAAGCTTTTGTAAGGTTTGAAACGCAAGAATTGGCTGCTGGAGTCATGCGGTGGCATCGTCAAGATGAGTGATGTAAAGAATCATCATGCGATGACGCCATCCTATAAGGCTATTGTCACGTCACACATTGCCAAAATATGTGACATCATATTGTCACGGGGTCGTGACGTGGCCGAAGACAGGAGACTTCGTGTTGGAATTTAACTGTTTATTTGGGCGAACCTGTGCCCGGTAAACGGAAAGTCCAAATACAGCAGCAGTCTAGCACAGATAGCAGTCTCGGACTGATAGCGGCGAACGGAGCGTTGGCCTTCGATCAACTACTGACAAGCGGCAAAGCGCGGCGGCATTTATACTCTTGCCGTCGAATGTTCTAGCGTTATCGCTGGCGGCGGCGTAGGTTCCAGAACAATCTGTACCGTTCGCATAGTGGGCGTGATCTTATCGAAATGATCTACTACAGTCCGGAGCCTTCTCGAAAACTGCAGGCGCGGTTCGCGCTGAGAATGGTGTGGTGTTTTGGGACGATAACAAAAACTTGGGAAATGGAACGCGGCATTGCCCCCCTCTGAAAAAAAGGCATCGTCCCGATGCTTTAACTAAAGATGAAGGTACAATAATAATGCTAGAAAGTACAATGAATAAATTACGATACAACTATAATACAAAAAACACTGTTTCAGTTTGTTAACGCGCATGAAACGGCTTGAGGCGCGCGATATGTACGACTTCAGGTCGTGATCGGCGTCGTTGAGAGTTCGTGATGCCGTCGGGGACAACCTCGTAATCAAGTGGGCCGAGACGTCGAACCACTCTGTACGGTCCGAAGTACCGTCGCAGAAGCTTTTCACTTAGTCCACGTCGGCGTATCGGCGCCCACACCCAAACACTTTCACCGGGCTGGTATTCCACGAAGCGTCGTCGAAGGTTGTAACGGTGGCTGTCGGTCGTCTGTTGATTCTTGATACGGAGACGCGCAAGTTGTTGGGCTTCTTCGGCGCGTTGAAGGTACTCGCTCACATCGAGGTTTTCTTCGTCGGTGACGTTGGGTAACATGGCATCGAGCGTCGTTGCCGGGCTCCTTCTGTAGACCAATTTGTATGAAGATATCTGCGTCGTCTCCTGCACCACCGTGTTGTATGCGAAGGTGACATACGGAGGAATGGCGTCCCACGTCTTGTGTTCGACATCGACGTACATTGACAGCATGTCGGCGATCGTCTTGTTAAGCCGCTCGGTGAGGCCGTTGGTCTGTGGGTGGTACGCTGTCGTCCGGCGGTGGTTTGTTTGGCTGTATGCCAAGATCGCTTGAGTTAAGTCGGCAGTGAATGCCGTTCCTCTGTCGGTGATAAAGACCTCCGGGGCGCCGTGACGTAGGACGATATTTTCGACGAAGAACTTAGCTACCTCGGATGCACTGCCTTTTGGCAGGGCTTTTGTCTCGGCGTAGTGGGTGAGGTAGTCGGTAGCTACCACGATCCACTTGTTTCCGAAAGTCGACGTCGGGAACGGCCCCAGTAGGTCCATACCAATCTGCTGGAAAGGTCGGCAAGGTGGATCAATTGGCTGCAGAAGTCCCGCTGGCCTTGTCGGCGGTGTCTTGCGTCGCTGACAGTCCCGGCATGTCCTCACATAACGAGTGACGTCGGTGGTAAGACGTGGCCAGTAGTACCTTTCTTGTATCCTCGCGAGCGTGCGAGAAACACCGAGGTGCCCTGCCGTCGGATCGTCGTGCAGGGCCTGCAGGAGTTCTGGTCGCAGAGTTGAAGGCACCACAAGGAGGTACTTAGCTCGAAGCGGTGAAAAGTTTTTCTTTTGTAGAAGACCGTTTCGTAGAAAGAACGACGCAAGTGCGCGCTTAAATACCTTCGGGACTTCGGCGGTCCTGCCTTCGATATATTCTATTAGGGCCTTAAGTTCCGGGTCGGCCCGCTGTCGTTCAGCGAAGTCGTCGGTAGTTATCGTTCCCAAGAAGTACTCGTCATCCGGGTCGTCGGGTAGCGGTTGGTCGACAGGCGCACGAGAGAGACAGTCGGCGTCAGAGTGTTTTTTGCCGGACTTGTAATAGACAGTAATGTCATACTCTTGAAGTTTCAGGCTCCATCGTGCGAGGCGACCTGAAGGGTCCTTCAAGGTGGCTAGCCAACACAAGGCGTGGTGGTCGCTCACAACTTTGAAGGGCCTGCCGTAGAGGTAGGGGCGAAATTTCGACGTAGCCCAGATGATGGCGAGGCACTCCTTTTCTGTTGTGGAATAATTTGCTTCTGCTTTGGATAGCGATCGGCTGGCGTAACTAATAACCCTTTCAAGTCTGTCAGCCCTCTGCACAAGAACGGCGCCAAGACCTACGCTGCTTGCGTCAGTATGTATTTCTGTCTCGGCGAATTCGTCGAAATGGGCAAGTAACGGAGGCGTCTGGAGGCTATGTTTAAGCTCCTGGAAAGCGTGTTCCTGTGGCGTTTCCCACTTGAACTCCACGTCGGCCTTGGTAAGGTTAGTGAGAGGATCAGCGATGCGGGCGAAGTTTTTCACGAACCGCCAATAATAGGCACACAGGCCCAGAAATCGGCGCACGGCTTTTTTGTCAGTGGGCGGCGGGAAGTCGGCGATGGCGGCTGTTTTCCGTGGATCGGGACGAACTCCAGACTTGCTGATAACGTGCTCCAGAAACAAGAGCTTCTCAATCGCAAATCTGCACTTTTCTGGCTTCAGTGTGAGTCCGGAAGTCTTGATGGCTTGAAGTACAGCTTCAAGGCGCCGAAGATGCTTGCCGAAATTCGAGGGAAACACGACGACGTCGTCCAAGTACACAAGGCAAGTCTGCCACTTCAATCCTGTCAGTACTGTATCCATAACGCGTTGAAAAGTTGTAAGTGCTGAGCAAAGGCCGAAGGGCATCACCTTAAACTCGAAGAGGCCGTCCGGTGTTATAAACACCATCTTCTCTCGGTCTCTTTCGTCGACTTCGATTTGCCAATAGCCAGTCTTGAGGTCCATTGACGAAAAGTACTTGGCGTTATGGAGCCGATCAAGTGCGTCGTCTATTCGTGGGAGAGGATACACGTTCTTTCTTGTGATTTTGTTCAGGCGGCGATAATCGACGCAGAAACGTGGGTCCCATCCTTTTTCTTCACTAGCACCACGAGGGATGCCCATCGACTTTTGGACGGCTGGATAATGTCATCCCGCAACATTTCATCAACTTGTCTCTTCATGGCCTCATGTTCTCGCGTCGAAACCCTGTACGGACTCTGACGGAGTGGTCTGACATTTTCTTCGGTTATGATGCGATGTTTCGTGTTAGGGGTCTGCCGAATTTTCGATGACGACGAAAAGCAATCTTCGTATTGCAGGAGCAGGGCCTTGAGCTGTTCTTGCTTATCGTTCGGTAGTCTGGGATTGACGTCGAAAGCTATGGGAGGGGCTTGGTTCCTTTGAGCAGGTTCCGCAGATTCGGCGAGGGCGAAAGCACTGGTGGCTTCGACAATTTCTTCGATGTATGCTATCGTTGTTCCTTTGTTCACATGTTTGTACTCATTGCTGAAATTCGTGAGCATAACCGTTGCTTTGCCTCCCCGCAGCTCTGCTATTCCTCGTGCGACGCAAATATTTCGGGTGACCAACAGATGCTGACTGCCTTCAACGACGCCTTCCAAGTCAGGTGATTTAGGAGCACCTACTGAAATAATGACGCTTGAGCGAGGTGGAATGGTGACTTGTTCTTCCAGCACATTCAAGGCATGGTGTCCTGACGGCGTGCGCGGTGGTAGTGCTTTTTCTGTGAATAAAGTTATCGACTTTGTTTTTAGGTTGATGACAGCACCATGGAGGCATAAGAAGTCCATGCCAAGGATGACATCTTTCGAGCAACGCTGTAGGACTACGAAGTCTGTAGGATAAATACGGCCGTTAATGGTGACTCTCGCTGTGCAGATTCCTGCAGGCGTTACAAGATGACCTCCGGCTGTGCGGATTTCAGGGCCTTTCCAAGCTGTCCTAACTTTCTTTAACTTCGCGGCGAACGACCCACTGATGACAGAATAGTCGGCTCCAGTATCGGTGAGAGCAGTCACACTGTGGCCGTCAATAAGAACGTTGATGTCGCTAGTTCGCCGTCTCGCATTACAGTTAGGGCGTGGCGTCGGGTCACGGCTGCGTCGGCTTGATCCGCTGCTTCCATGTTGCGTCGTCAGGCCACCTCCGCTATAAGTGAGCTTTCGCCATCAGGGCTTTGCCTGGTTGGCATTGTGTTCGGCAAGCTCCGTCGCGGCGTCGTCGTCGTCGGAGGATCTTCGGTAGTTCGTCGCACAGCAACCGCACCTCCACCGGTTGCTGCCCTTAGTTTCCCGTATACGGGCTAGGAGACCGGCCCCGCGTTGGGCCGGAGTACTGCCAGGGGTGCGGTGACATGCGGCGGCTGGGCGACGGCGAACGGGAAGGACTTCGTGGTGTCCATTGAGTTCCTGTGATGTAGTCGGCGATGTCACGTGGCCGTTCCCCTGGCTGCGGACGTGGTGCATCGACGGCGAAGCCACGCAGTCCCATCTGTCGGTACTGGCAACGGCGGTAAGTGTGCCCGGCCTAGCCGTAGTGATAGCACAGTGGGCGGTGGTCAGGGGTGCGCCAAACGTCGGTTTTCCTCGGCGCACTGCGCTGGCCCGATGGCGAACGGTAGGTCGTCGGTGGGGGTGGTGGCGGCGTTGGTGTCTGGTGACGGAAGTGCGACGGGGCGGCATTTCGGCGTGGACGGGGAGGAGCGTTGTGGTGCACTGCAGCGGCGTAGCTCATAGTTTCTGGCTCGGGCAGCGGTGTTTGGGGAATTCGAAGTGATTGCCGAACTTCTCGCACAATATCGGCGATCGAATCCACTGGAGGGTGCGTCGAAAGCAACAGTTTGCGCAGCTCTTCCCGCACGATCACTCGGATCGTTTCACGCAGGTTTTCGGAGTCACTGGTTTGAGCAGCAGCGCATTCTGGAGTCAGGCGACGATTATACTGTCTGGTGCGCATGTCAAGGGTTTTTTCGATGGTGGTCGCCTCGGATACAAATTCTTGGACGGTGTTCGGTGGATTCCTCATTAGTCCCGCGAAAAGCTCCTGTTTCACCCCTCGCTTGAGGAAACGAACTTTCTTCTCCTCAGGCATGTCTGGGCCAGCGTGACGAAATAGGCGGGTCATCTCCTCTGTGAAAATTCCAACCTTCTCATTTGGTAGCTGAACCCGGGTCTCTAGTTGAGCAGCTGCCCTTTCTTTGCGAGCGACGCTCGCGAACGTTTGCAGAAATGCGCCGCAGAAAACATCCCACGTTCGGAGCGTGGACTCTCGATTTTCGAGCCAGGTCCTTGCGGTGTCTTCCAAATAGAAGAACACACGCCGCAGCTTTTCGTCATGGTCTCAGTGGTTGAGGGCAGCCACATGGTCGTATGTTTCTAGCCAGGACTACGGGTCTTCCAACGATGACCCATGGAAAATTGGTGGTTTCCTGGGTTGATGCATGACCATCGTGGGCTGGGACGCTGCGGTGGTCATTGTCGCTGCAGTCGCGGTCATGGCCTTGGTCTTCCGCGCCTTGTCTTGTAGAAGCTCGTACTCCGGTATTAGCCCTTGCTGTCGGTGGCTTGTTCGCTGCTCCTGGTTGGCGTGGGTGTTTTCTCCGCGATGTGGGCTGGGTTCACGGCTTGACGGGGGCGTCCGGTACATACGAAGCAGCACCTCCACCAGATGTCACGGGGTCGTGACGTGGCCGAAGACGGGAGACTTCGTGTTGGAATTTAACTGTTTATTTATGCAAACCTGTGCCCGGTAAACGGAAAGTCCAATTACAGCAGCAGTCTCGCACAGATAGCAGTCTCGGACTGATAGCGGCGAACGGAGCGTTGGCCTTCGATCAACTACTGACAAGCGGCGAAGCGCGGCGGCATTTACACTCTTGCCGTTGAATGTTCTAGCGTTATCGCTGGCGGCGGCGTAGGTTCCAGAACAATCTGTACCGTTCGCACAGTGGGCGTGATCTTATCGAAATGATCTGCTACAGTCCGGAACCTTCTCGAAACTGCAGGCGCGGTTCGCGCTGAGAATGGTGTAATGTTTTGGGACGATAACAAAAACTTGGGAAATGGAACGTGGCAATATAACACAACGTCACATTCTGACATTATGTCACGTCATCGCTTTGTGAAAAGTGGACCCATCATTGCTACTTGCAAGTATAACAACGCCATTGCTACGATGCTGCATGGAGTTTCAGCAACAAACCTGAACGAAGCCCCGAAGTTGTCGCAAAAAAAAATCGTGAGACTAAACTACATGATGGGTGAATGAGTACACTAGAAAACAAACACAACAGATATGGTGGTATTCTCGGGCAAGCGCTTTCCAGACAGCTTGGCTGGCTCGATGCTGAATGGGTTTTTGAAAGCAACCGCGTGTGGGGCATGACGCACCGGCAAAAACAAAAAAAAAACTGCCTAGTTACGCTAAGGTTCGAAGTCAGTATTACTTGCGGAGGGAAAAACGCCGTACCTAAAAAAACACTGCATATCTAGGGAGTGGATGATGATGAGTGGGGCGAAGCATCGGTCAGTCCGTCCGCGCTTCTTTCCGCCCGTTAATTATTGCTTCTGTCCATCCGTCCATCTATGCGTCTGTCTGTGCATTCATCCCTGCGTTTGTTCACCCATCCGTCCGTCCGTTCGTGCGCCAAGAAGAGACAGACACACATTTAACGGACGTACACGGTTAGCAGATGATTCATGGTTTGCCGATGCAACCCTCCGTTGCTTCGCGCCACTCATCAGAATGGACAGAACTTGTGCAAAAGGCTGCGTTGAAGAATAAATACTAAGTGAGTTTGCATCAGAACAAACAAGGAAAAAACAAGAAAGGGAAAGCAATGTACCAGGTGAGACATAAAAATAATTAACGTAATTTTCAGTGTAATCAGGAACACGACTGATTGACAAAAGTATTTTGCAAGGCAAATTAAATTTCCGGGCAAGTTCAACTTGAATCGGAATTGTGTTCCCTATTTTAGCACCAGTTAACTGAATTAACCGTTCGCAAGCCTCGGCAGGTGTCGGAGAATTCTTGCCGTGACGTGATGCAGGCCTCTCATAGACAAACATACTTCTTCCGTAAAGAGCGGAAGCGCCCGTACGGCCCCGCGGCCTAGCTATACGGCGCTGCTGTCAGCGCCACGAGTGGTTCTTCAGACTCGATAATGTGTTCAGCAAAAATAAAAACAACAAAACTTTATCTTCGTTATGCGGGGATTTAAACCCGTACCCTCATGCTCCGAAAGCGAGTGTTTTTTGCTTTATGACTTACTTTTGCACACCATACAATAATAATGGAGTGCATGATCAGCAAATATTGCGGTAATGAATAGAATAGATACGGATAAATGGCTCAAGTTCTTTGAGCCACTCTGGAAGTTGGTCTTTAATTTTACACTCTTGCATAAACTTCGTAATTATACGACGGAGATATTTATGAATGGGCAGTGTATTGATGTCAGCAAGAAATAAAGCAGTGCTTATTAGAGCAAAGCCAACCAAAAAATTATGGCTCACTGAAATGCTGCCACAGACGGCTTATGTATCTCTCTACGCTGACGATATCTGCATTTGGGCGTCCGGCGTGACACGACCTCAAGTGCGCGCAAGAATACAGAAAGCGGCAACAATGACATCGACATACCTTCGCCAGCAAGGTTTGACTATCACCACAGAAAAATGCGCAGCGGTGGTGTTTACACGCAAACCGATATCTTTCTACTCATTGTGCATCGATGGCAGATCAATCCCATATAAGATCACTCATAGATTCTTAGGCGTCATCGTAGATCGTGACCTAACCTGGAGCCCGCATGTCACATACCTGAAGAAAAGCTCATTGGCATTGAGAATGTATTCAAGTTCGTCGCCGGAAAATCATGGGGCCCATCCGTGCACTCCATGTTGCAGCTTTATACAGCCCTCTTTCTCGGAACTCTCCGGTACAGCCTTCCGGTCCTGTCCAACACGTGCAAGACTAACATCCGTGCACTGCAAAGCGTACAAGCCCAAGCACTTCGGACATGCCTTGGCCTTCCAAGATGCTCATCGACAGTGTCAACTATTGTTATTGCACAAGAACAACCGGTCACAACGCACATCATTGTCGAGACGCTGAGAGCGCACATTCGGCATTTATCGCGGCTACCGTCACATCATTTAACGTGTTTGACAGCTCGGAGGCCCCGTTCTTCGTACTGCGGAATCGTGACAAAACATCAGGAAATACTACCGCCTGGCTTCAAACTTGCCATGCATCCAGCAACTGCGCCATGGAGTCTTCGTCAACCTGACGTGCGCTTATCAGTTCCTGGAATCTTTAAGAAGGCACGCATGTCAACGCTAGCCCTGAAACAACTGACTTTGCGTCTGTTGGACGAAAGGTACTTCGACCGCATACATGTTTACACCGATGGCTCCACTAATTCTAACAGCTCCACAGGAGCAGTGGTTGTTCTATCTGAAAATGTGTTGCTTCAGTACAAGTTTTCTCACACCACAACGTCGACAGCAGCAGAGCTCACAGCACTTCAAGGTGCAGTAAAGCACATTCTTCACCAGGAACCTAAACAATGGGCTATCTTTTGCGACTCCAGGTCAGCCTTACAGTCACTACGGTTTGTTCTGCAGCACGGGCTACATGAACAATCAGTATATCAGATAACGCACGACTACCACGAAGCGCTCGCGGAAGGTCACGATATTGTATTTCAGTGGTTGCCGAGTCATTGCGGAATCGTTGGCAATGACCGCGCAGATGAAGCTGCTCGATCGGCTCATGACCAAGACCAGCGCACGCCCATACCACTCTTGAGAACGGACGCTGCAAGGCTACTACAATCACTTGCTCGCCGTATATCTCTCCTACAATGGAATACGCAGGGTTTCTCCAACACGCACCTGTATTCGATCGACTGAAACTTGCAACTTCGTGTGCCATCCGGGTTCCCACGATGCGCTGAAACTTTACTGTGTCGCATGAGGTTGGGCGTGGCATTTACGAATTCATACTCTCGTCTCTTTGGAATGGCGAGCACTTCGGCATGCAACATCTGCGCCTGCGAGGAAACGCTTGAGCACATTCTATGTCATTGCCCAGCATACCAGACTGAACGACGTATTATGGAAGCCAAGCTCTGTCAGCTGGATTCACGGCCGCTTACAGGAGAGAAGATCCTGGGACCTTGGCCGACGGCTTCCCATACGCGCGAAGCCACGAAAGCCCTCTTGTACTTTTTAAGGAACACCAAACTTCACGACCGCTTGTGAAAGAACTGTGCGAGGCCGTGCTGTGTAGTTTCGAGCTGACTATTTATGCTTCTCTTTCTTACTCCTCTTCTTTTCTGTCTCTTTTCGTTCTATTATTCCCCTTTTCCCCCAACCCAAGTGTTGGGTAGCCAACCGAGCCAAGCTTGGTCAACCTCCCTGCCTTTCCTCTCTATTTATCTCTCTCTCTCTCTCTCTCTCTCTATCTATAAACAAAAGCACTACTTTTTTGTGCTGGGCAGCAGGCGCGCACTTCAGCTTTGTAGCTTCCACAGTGCTGGCAAGAGAAGTGGCCGAGTACAGCCATATTGTCGGCTCGCAAGCTGCGCTTGTTTTAAGGGTTATAAAGCTTTGCTTGAGTAACCAAGCCTAGCCGACTAAGCGGCAGCCGTTTTTTTTCAGGATAGCTGTTGCGGGACCACTTCTAGTGCTGTTTTTCTTCTTCCTCGGTGAATGCACAGCAGTTGCCATTATGTACTGGTACAGAGACTGTGACCCCGTCATGCGTGGTGTCATCGATAGCTATGATGAGGTAAGGGTGTTTTTTCAGGCAATTGATTACCCACAAAAACAAATAGAAAAACTGCAACCTTTCATGCAGCGTATCAATAAGTGGCCCACTACCACGTGAAGAAAGGAACAACGTTGTGACCATATACCAGCTGCAAATACTCCAGTGCTTTCTCATGTATTTGTATTTTTATGCATATGTATTTCTATGCGTTCAAAATTGACACATAAATAATGTGCGCCTTCAAGTTACCCTGAGAAATAAGAAGATATTTAGCAAATTGCGAAGTCAGCATGAAGGGCTCACTTTTTAAAGTTGCACTGCAACATTTTCTCAATGACTGATTGATTGGTATGTGTGTTTTAACGTCCCAAAACCATCCTTTGATTATGAGATACGCCGTAGTGAAAGACTTCGAAAATTTCTACCTCCTTTGGTTTTTTTAACGTGAACTCAAATCTAAGCACATGGGCCTACAGCATCTTCGCCCTCATCGAAAATGCGGCCGGCGAAGTCGGGATTCCATCCTGCGACCGACGGGTCAACAGCCGAGTATCTTAGACACTATACCCATTGTGGCGGAACTGCAAAATTTTCTCAGCATGGTCAGAAAAAGCTAGCAATTGGTAGCCTACGCTAGTGAGAACACGTGAGTCAAACATTTTAGTGAACCACGCTGCCGGTAACTGACTATTCACTCTCAAAGTCGGATAAAGAATCGCTCATTTTCATCGCAATTGATTCGAGAGGCAATAAACTGCTTTATGGAAGTGTTCACATAGTTACTCGAAAGAATGTTATAGGGTGCCTTTATACGTGAAACTCGTAAGCTACACTGCTACTACAATGTCCTGTTCAGTGCACAATGTAGTCTCGAACGCCATGAAACTGATATGCGCGTATGCCTCCTGTCAGATTGTTCCGCATTATATGATGAAGAGGCTCGCGGACGTACCCATGCTGAGAGGCTTGTTTCTGGCGGGACTCGTGGGGGCATCAACAAGGTGAGGTTCTTTGTATACTTAGAAATCGCGTAAAAGGCGGTACAGGTCCTGTTAACAATAATCTGGAGATGCATCCAGGGTGTAGTACAGTCGTAACTGTCTTGTCCACTTTCAAGTTTTGTGAACTTTTTTGTTTTCAATTTTACTGAACTTCTATGTTTTGTGTGGAGATTAATTTTTGGGATTACTTGTGTTTTTCTAATTAGGTGAGGTGTGGACACAATCTTTTATTGCAAAACTTGTACCCAGTGCGTAAGTGTTGTGATACGTACCAAAGTATAGTTTCGTGTTTATTACGCAATATGCGATGTCGACGTTTGTGCAAGAGAAAAAGAGTAGCCGGTGCTACGCACTGGCACCAACGTCCCCTTAAATACTTTTATAAAAAAAAACTTCGGAGTTTAACTTCAGTGCCTAAACTTGATCACTGTGAGAAAAAATCTTGACTGATCAGTAGGCAACATAAATTTGTAAAACACAAAAATGAAACGTTCACAGAGGTCGGCAGAGTTTATTGTGCACTGCCTCGTCACAAGAACAAAGGCATGAATGCTATAGCAACAAACTAATGTCACGCGAAGAACGGCGAGCAGCTCGAAACTTGCAGCTCACTCTTCTAGCAGAAAAGATGCACAAAAATAACATACACAGGTTAGTCCGAACAAACGATTATCACATCTCGCCACTTAAAGCGTGTTTCTTAAACACAGAGAACGCCTGAAAGAAGTGCACAAGTAGGAGCGCGAAGTGGCAATAATAATTGAGCTTTAGCGTCCGAAAACCACGGTATGATTCTGAGAGACGCCGCATTGAGAGGCAACGAAATTTTAACCAACTGAGATTCTTTCAGCTGCACCCAAATATAACTACACGGCGAGCGTGAACTAACAGCTGCCACGCTTACTCCTTTGTGTCCGAGCTGCACGCTTCTTCGCAAATGCAGCTGCTGCGGCAAGCGAAGCAACCGTTGTGCTTTCTGCAACTTTAACGCCGGCCCAAGACATACATCCGAACCACTTTGGTTGCCAGATAAGCAATTCGGGCCTCCCAAAGCGAGAAGCAACGATCTCGAAAGCCTGCCATTGCTGTCATCGCACCATGTGGCTAATCAAAACAAAAACCCGCTGAATCCACCAACCTCCGAGTACCACTGACTTTAAATAGCTCATAGAAGTAACTCACCACTAACACTCTGATAAACGTTCTATTTGTGGCCGATGTTTGTCGCTCCTACGCTTCGGAGCGAGAAGTTTTAGGTTCGAATCCCAATGGCAGAAATTTTCTTTGTAGCCGTTTTCGTTGCCTTGTGTTAGTGTATATTTTTCAGCGTCATATCTCTGACGGAAAAACATCACTGGAGCCGTGGTGAACCTGACGTCAAACACTTTCATGTAGAAAGAGGCTCTGAGACATTGCGACGAAGGTTTCGAGGGAGGCATTTACCTTACGGACTGTAATGTACATGAAAGTGAGAAATGTCCCTAATACGGGTGCTTTGGGCCGATTCGCAGTGTAGTTATTGATCGCGATAACAAGCTGGTGGTGTCTGCACAGTACAGACCAATCCAGATCGAGTATGACGTAAACTTCTGCTTAATAACGATTTCGCAGCCACATCCCGATGCGATGATCACGATTGTTTTGATACTGATTGGGCCTGGTCACAATCAAATGTGACGGCGAAGCACCACATTATCCGGAACTAGATGAATCCTAATCGGACCTGATCGCAATAAAGAGTACCCGTGTGACACCGATATTATACAGCCAAAGTGCCATTAATAATAGTGTTTTCAGAGTGCGAGGGTAGATGGTAAATACTATTGCAGCATTAGAAATATGACTTTTCAGACAGGAAGTGTTTCAAGAAAACTAACAAGACGGTATAGATACCATATAATACATGACGACGCTGGATAACGTTATGCTATTGCTTCAGTGAAGATTCTTAAAAACACATCGTAGAAGAAGGAATTAGTTCGTTATACTGCAAAATATCACCGTTCGAGGTGCAGTTTAACGTTGTTTTGTTAATCTCTTCTCTCAGCACGATTTCCTCGATTGTGAACTCCCACGCTGCAATATTTTACACCGACGTCGTCACACCGTACACCAAGATAAGCGACAAAAAGGCTGTCGCCGTGATGCGTATTCTGGGTATGTATGTCCACAATGCTTTCAAAGTGTCCTTCAAATATTTTCGTACGGTTTCGCCTACTGTGCTCCTGAATTATTGCAGTATCTCAGCAAGGTTTATGTCGCACATCAAGCGTGTTTCATTGCGGCAGAACTGTCGACAATTTCAACAATATTGTTTGTAAAATATGGCATGTAGAAATAAAGTAAACACTCTTTTATTGCTACAGCACTGTGCGCACCTCTCAACAGTTCCGGGATTCAATGCCATGAAGCATTTTAATGCGCTCTATGAAGGCTGTGAGATGCATCAATAGGGTCCAGGAGTCCACATAACAGTTCGGAATATGTCTTCAGAATGATCCTATGAGGCAATGAGGGTCATATTTCTTCAAGCTCGTAATAAGTGCGACAGTAAGTACACTGGCAAGCTGCGTAATGACTTCACAAGTATTGCTTTTTAGAAAGCAATTGCAGTAACATATTGGCGAATAATGAAAGCGTGGTCTAAAACTATAGTGTGCTTTTTTTGCTGGGTAATTCGCCGCAATGCATGACCATACCAGTATTGAAAACCGGAAAACCCATCGAAGATTACGATGCTCCTTTCGAGGGCAGCTATTCAAGTTATGAAGAAAATGATTTCAGCTGCGTCTCCGCATTAGGAGCATAGAAAGGAAAAGAAGGAATATAGGAGAAAAATAGCGGCAGGGAGGTTAACCAGCCTATAGGCAGGTGGTTTGTTACCCTGTGCATGGGAAGGGGACGGGGGAGATGAAAAATAGAGAGGATTGAGAAAACAGAGATAAACACAGCACATTCGGCAGCGCATGCGCGCACTCAGTCATAGTTCAGTCTTGTCTTTCGTGGTGTGCGACATTGCTGTTACAGCCGCTTGTTCAAGTCAGTGTCACGTAAGAATTTCAACAGTGCTTTTGTAGCCTTCTGTTGCAATGTCTTCTCTCAGGCACTTGCAAGAATAGTGCTTGGAGCATAGCGTGACCATCTCGCTAAGGGGGATACTACAAAAAGACAGCGCATGGGTGCGTTAGATGACAGCTGCCGCAGGCAGGCGTCAGTTCATGCAGCACTTTATTTTGAGTGTGAATACACTTTATAAGCGACCCCAAACCATCCACCGCCGTCGGCGGCGTCCGCAGTCTTCTCTCTATCTTTAAAAGAAAGACGACTTGGCGGGCCGCAGCGCGACGCTCTACCGAATAAGCCACGGACGCGACGCTGATATCGCTGTCAGTAACGCGCCTTATACCCCCTCCCCCTTCGCTCGCTCCTCCGCTCTCCTAGCTCGCTGCAGCTGCGCGCGCACCCCTCTCTCTCGCGCGCCCGCCTTCTCTCTCAGTCTCCCGTCGAGAGTGGGTCGTGCGATGGATGTCCCGGAGGCAATGCTACCATCAACAACGAATGCAGTACAACCGAATGCCAGCACTGCACCCGTCGTTGGAGGTGACGGTACCGCGGTGGTTGCGCCGACGTTTGAAGACAAGGCGGCGCTGCGAAGGGCTCGTGAGACCGAACGTAAGCGGGCGAAGCGTGCAGCGGATGCCGAACTGCGTGCTCGCGAGGCCGAGTGCAAGCGGGCGAAGCGTGCAGCGCATGCCGAACTGCGCGCTCGCGAGGCCGAGCGGTTCCGATTGTGGTGGTGGGTGACTTTAACGTGGACGTTAGAAAGGACAATGGCTGGTTGGTTGACCACATGCTGAACAATTACTCGATGACGTGTCTGTCTCTCGAGTTTCCGACCACGATCAACGGTGGCTTCATAGACTTGGCGTTCAGTAGGAACTGTACGGTCCGCTCCGTCTTGCCGGATCCGCTCACCGTACATTTCTCGGATCACAAAGCTCTGGTACTAACCGTGAGCTACAACGATAACACGAATAGGTGCTAATCTGTGTGCATTTAATGCATCGTACGAAAATCGTGAAGTGTAAATAAATAATACTTCGTATATAATGTATCTGTGTACAAATGCTTCATGACAAACAACACTTAAATTCATTAATTACACTTTAATCCTCATCATCAGTAATAAAACTCCCAGGCATTTCCCCGAGGGTGAACATGGTTAAGTGCGAATGCACGGGGTGATGCTATGAGGGGGAGTAAAGTTACAATCCGTTGGCATTCGCCAGTGAGTTAACGTAAACTCCCCCGTGTGATCAAATTGCGATTCCCAGGAACCATTACACCTTAAAGGCACCACAGCGTGATTAATAAATATAATAGTGCGAATTAATAAATGCCCCTCATAGCATCACCCCGTGCATTCGCACTTTACCATGTTCACCCTCGGGGAAATGCTTGGGAGTTTTTTACGTATGATATCGGTGAGCGCCCTTGCCGCATACCTTATTGATGGCGTTATCAGCGACCGCGAGAAGGCATCCACTACTGTGGCGCCGCGAGACTTGTCATCTCGCCACTGTTCTTTCATCCGCTCGCTGGCCTCACCATCGCTGCCTTTCATCTTCCGCTGCACTTCGTGTTGGCTCTCTTTCGTCCTGGTTCTCTCTTCTGGTTATGCCGACGCCAGTCAACACAGGAAGTGGCACCTAAGCGCATCACTCTAAAATCAACTATAAGAAATACCCGCTTAGTTTTAGTTTGCACGTTCAGCGCGAAACCTTGCATTATGCGCTTTCACTTCGCTGTTTCCTCGGCCACAAGCAACTGCTTCAACACTACATAGAAAGTAGGATTATAGGAGGTCTAAACAGAAAAGCTATTGTAAATGAGGTTATTTTAATGGCGGTGACATAAAATGAGGCTAAAGCGGGTGGACCTTGAGTATTGAATGTTCTTTTTCTGCTAAGGCTGTGAAGAGTGCCTTCCAAATCTCGTTCAACACACACAATTTTAATAGCCTCTCAGGCAACCCGCTTGCTTGTTAAGAGCTGACTTGCCTTTCGCAATAGCAAATATTTTAGGATTTTGAGTGCGTCGTCAAGTCAAGTGGTACTGCACGGGTATTGCGATGCAGTGCTGAAGATGGGAGAATAAGCATCGTCCTAAATCTTTGTGCATCGTTGAATAGCAGGCAAGCACCAAACTTACAAAGCACGGTTACCGGGGTATTCAGTAGCTTATACTACCAAATAATACTGAAGCCGCATAGTGTACGGATAATTCCTTGGTTAAAAACGAACCTTTTCCAGTGATGTACACTCTTGCACTGAAATATTGCGAAAATTCTGTTGCAGCTTTCGCGAGTGGTACCATAATGACCCTGTGCGCCATTGTGGTACCTTACCTTGGCACTGCAGCACGGGTAAGTGCATGCATGAAACGCAGATATGAAGAACTGGGGTACTTCGAATTAATGCATGATGGAATTTTGTAGCCACATCATGTGAAAATACACAAACACGCAACCTATACTACTAAAGCCACCACATGGAATGAACATGATATGAGCTTGTGTATATGAAGAGGAATAATACAAAGGGACTTTTCATGATATGTAGTTTCTCAACATGCAAAGTTGAACTAGTGGCCGACGATATTATATTGAATATAATGCTATCCAAAATACTTCTGCTGTGTGACATTGCTTTGAATGTGAGAGCTGCCTTAAAAGACTGGCCAAAAGGGGACAGCAATGAACGCCTTGGCAACCGATTGCAATGTTACGCAAGAAAGCTTAGCAGCTTCTGCTTTTGGAAGAGCAGACAACAATTTTAGGATTGTTTGAAAGGGGCCAGTTTTACCGTAAGGGTAAAGCAGAGAATGCGATGGCAATCAGTTTAGTTGCTGCACGCAGAAAGCCTAGCACATCCTCTGTTAGCAAGCGCAGAACCTCCGCGCGTGATGTGAACTTCCTGTGAATCTGGTTTCAATGCAAACTTGATGTTAGAGCACTACGCACATATTTATGAGCCGTCTGATTATCTCTGCAGAGATAAGTGTGTGACCCGGGCTACGACGCCATGCAAAATAAACTGCACTTCCTTCCGAAAGCACGTAGTCCTTCCCCACCCTTTTCTCTGAGCTCATTTCTCTATGCGCTTTTGGCGCGACAAAATACGGTGCGAGCATGGCCTCTCTGGCTCAGAAGTGATCGATGCCGCAACGCCCGTAAGCCCTAAATAGGGCATAAAACAGTACGTGCGGCTCGATGTGCTATATTAAGAATTTATGCTGAAGATGACGTCGCCAATAAAACCGACGGCAAATACTCATCAAGGGCGCTCAATATTGGAAACGCAAGAATGACAGTTATATTTAGGAAAGTGCCGACCCATGCCCACCTGAAAAGAAATTACTAGAGCACAGCATTAACATTAACAAAATTATTTCTTATTCTTGAAAACGCAACTGACGCACCGTCTGTGGGGCAAAAAGATTAAGGTGCTGTATTATACGATATCCTTTGCCTATTCCTTTTTTTTCGTGAACAGTTGTACATGTCATTCTACTGTTCGGCGGCGGGACCATTCGCTGGGCTCTTCCTGCTGGCTTTGTCGTCACCGTGGGTCAACGCAAAGGCAAGCCATAACTTTCACGTTTCATAAATGTGTATATAGTGGAACATCATTGCTTAGCGAGCGTAGCGGGATAGTGGGCACAGCAAAACAGCGTGATCAAATTGCGCATGCCCAGAGTGCTAAACGATGCGCAACGTGTGCGGTGCACTCGCTATTTAACAGATTTAGCGTTGCCGTGTTTGCGTGGTGTACGTGGCGAACCTAGGCTGTTTCAGGACGTCCATATCGAACGGAATATAGACTTAGCGGGGACGGATTCGTTTTTTTTTTTCATAACCAGAGACTCGTGTAAAAAGGCTTCGCTTGCCTTGAGGTAACTTCGACGAACGAGTATTACGGACAACGTAGCCTAGTTTATTAAATTGCTGACCATTTCTAACGTCCCTAAGCCTCAGTAGACGACAGGTACAAACAAATCTGGACCGCAGAAATTTGTGCATTCGATGCGTTATTCCTATTTTTTACTTTTAACATTACCAAACAAGTAGTAATAATGGTGCGCGCAGGGATACAGACAAGAATTACCAGTTTTTCATATTTTTCTCACTGTTCTTGATGCATTCACCATCCTCCAGGTGACGCCACCGTTCCAGCTCGGGCCCGTAAGCACTATTCTCCCTAACTATAACGGGCTCTCTACAAGGAACGTTTGCGGCACGGTAACGCTATTGCTTTCCCCCTCCCCCTATCTTGCAAACGCTGAACTAAAACTGTCGAGTGATGTATTTTCTTGTACTCATCTGCGCTTCAAGAAAGTACAGTTCCTGGTGGTGGCATGGAACAATGTTATACACGATTGGAATATTTTGCGACTCGAACATGCAAACCTGCGGTGGTAGCTTAGTAGCTATGGTGTTGCGTTAGGATTATGGTGACCGCCTATCTGTAATTGCTCATTGTGCGAATATCCGCATCCTTTGTTCAAAGGCGTAGTGAAGCACTCCAGGTGGGCAAACAAATTCTAACTTTTCTAACAACAGCATGCCTCCTAATTGTATCATTATTTAAGAACCTCAAACCTGACAAATGATATGAGGTCATTTTCATTGAATTCAAGAAGTTTCTCGAAAAGCTTTCGGAAGTGTGGTACATAGGTGCATTAACGGGTGCGCGATCGGCAGTGGTATTTAGTAAATGCCTTCAGAATTAACAGAGACAATAAAAATTGCATTTGTTTGGGTAATTCATCAAGATTAATTTGCCAACACGAACTTTTTCATATGGGTACTGCAGTGTTTATTCATATGAGGCACTATGATCATGAATATATGTTTTTTTTCAGGGAGTAGGCAGTGCGACGCTGCTAGTCTGCGGATTTCTGATATGGCATGCAACTGGAAGGAGCCTTACCGATATTGCATCACCACCATTGCTTCCAAAAACGCTTGATCGTTGTCCATTATCGCTGAATATCAGTGACTGGACTGAATTCGCGTCGAACAGGTCACAAAGCATTGGACCGGTCACAAGGTTCGCTTCTTTTTCATCTCTTTCTGATGAGTGGTTCCACTAAATCACAATCTTTAGCCCGAAGGTCATTAGTGTTCATCAACAGGGCACACCGCTTTAATGCAATGATGCTAGTCCTTAAGCTATAGAGTACTGTGACTAATAGTGAAAAGTCACAAAAAAACGCACTGTTCTGCTGGTAGAGTAATTTATAAGGGGGGGGAGGGGTAAAATAACGATCTGTTCCTGCATACGCATATGTTGAAACAATATTGATTGCAAGTTTCTTGAATAAAAAAAAAAAAACTGACGACTCGCGCTTCAGAAGCGCGATGCTCCGCATCACCCTTAAGGTTCTATTATGGGAGGTCGTGTAATTTTTTTTATTCCTGGGGGCTTGCCGTGGCCCGGGCTTCCTTTTTGCGAGCAGGTAGCCAACGAATGAATGGCACAGCGCATACTATTTGAAGGCATCAATTCTGCCAGAACAATACCTTAGCTATAATGAAAGAAAAAGGCTCATTTTAAGGTTATTTCGTTGATGTTTGAAGGTGTTTAGGGCATTTTAGACAACAAATGTCCTAAGGTCAGGCGTCAGGCGTATCTAGCCTCCCATGACGCAGCCATCAAGGACAACACTTGTTGCATATTTTTGATGAAGTAAGCAAACGTAGTCACAAAATAGCTCCTCCTTTTAAAAATACTAGTTTATAGTACATAGTATTATAGATATCAGAAGTCGTTGAAAAGTTGGTATGTCACTTTCTTCCAGTGCCTTTTCAGCGGATTACAGGTAACATTGGTGCTGCCGTTGAGGCATGAAACTGCAAAACATTCATGATGTACTTAAAATTCATTATGTGTATACAATACCCGAAACAGTCTTTTCCAAGCTGTGCGATGAAGTGTTTTTGGCGTCCTACTTCTCCGAAAGCCCATAGACCCGATGCCATTTGATTGAATTTTTTTATAAAACTAAAATGACTACTTGTAATTTGAATACAAAAATATTTTAAGTAACATAGTATATTATGTCGCCCTCAAATAAACATTTTTTTGTCATTCACAGCCAGATGAGGAAGCAGACTGACAAGATTGCAAAATTTTGAAAATTTCACGCCCAGTTTTGTGTACTGGTTAAACACAACATGCCACGTTGAAGTCCGTAGCACTTAAACTCTGCCTGCCCATCGGCTGCCTCACGTAGCACGGTCAGGTAGTGGTCTATACAGGCAATAAACAAGGCTATAAGTCATTCAAACCTGTGAAAAGTAAACTAACGAGTCGTATTATGTGAAAAGAAAAAATCGGCACAAATTTTTTGCTCTATTTTACCTCAAATGGCTAAAAGAAACACCACTGAAATGCGCGACTGAGACCATGCAAGAGAACGGAACACCACCTCGGCAAGCTTGCTATCCCCGAGGGGGTAGGAAATGCAGAGCGAATCTCTGGGTTGCCCGTGCTACGCACTTCTTTACGGTTCACGGTAGTGTATCTGCATTAAGTGCATGATACAAAACTACACCAAGACCTGCACAAGAACGATATTTTATAATGTTTGTCTCGAAATGCAGTTCGTCTACGTTCCCGCTGTACACGGTGTCTTTCTACTGGATATCCTTCATTGGCGCACTGTTGACGCTAATTCTGGGAACCGTTTTCAGCCTCCTTAGTGGTGAGTATTGGGCATGCGTTAAGCTAGAGACCGATAGTATGGGCCAAGCGTCTGAAACCTGTGGCCTACGGGACCGTAATATGGTACTCCTAGTGCGACGTTCACAGCCCCCTCTTCTTGTTACTTCCAATTCAAAGGTGGTCGAGTTAGTTTTGACTAGAAACGGGGTGAGATAGAAAACGAAAAACGACTGCGTTCACATCACATTTTCACGCATTTTACGGAACATTCACACACCCAGATGACGTATTACCTGTCCCACTTTGGCTAAGAAGGTTGGCTACAAATGTAGCCGGCCTTTTGCATGTGCAGTCGATTCGATAGAGTGGACACGAGATCGAACTACCTGTATATACTCGGCATTTGACGACTCTTACAGAAACCACCTACAGGCACAACACTAACCTCCAGATTTTTCAAGAACATGACTTTCTATATGCCACTTCATACGCGCGTAGAAAACACAAACTAAATGCATATTTACGTTCCCAAAACAGGCTCGAATAATAAAAATCTGCGATGTTTCAGGAGGCCACCGTGATGCTAACAGGAACCTGCGTTTGACTAGTCCAGTAGTCCTGAACTTCTGGAAACGGTTTGGATTCATACGTCGTACTTTCCTGGTGAGCAACAAAAAACTTCACTGACAGGAATTCTAAGTAAACACTTTATACGCTCTGGTTAATGTATGTAATCCAGTAACATGGGCGTAATATTGAAAGCGGGCATTTATCTTGTTAAATGATCTGTTTCTAATCTCCAACATGATTAGCGAAAAAAGTAAAATATTTTTGAAGAACTTGCGATGAAGTAATCCCGAATAAGATAGCTCATGATTTTTTCATCAGAGTTTGCCAAAAAATGCTTCTCACTTGAACATTGCTTAATTGATTAGCCAGAGTGGCAGCCGAATCAGCTTGATTTCAACAGTGATGAAGTATTGTAACAAGATCCATTGTGTGTTTCCTAAGATTACTCGAAGCCGACAACTATTCGATGCTGCCATCGTTGTCGTCATCATCATCATCAGAAAGAAGATGATAATGAAGTGAAGAGCACAGAAGAGAAACCCATTACATCATTTGTTTTCTTGACGACAGCTATGGCCATGGTCACTTTTCATGCTAATTCAGGCATACAACACTATACATTTGAAAAGTTCGGTTTTTGGGGTGGTGTGGTTGATAATATTGGATGAGCAAAATACGGCCCTGCACGTGCACCTCTTGTTTTGTCATTTGCTTTTTTTCTTCTTTTCCCCATTTATATACATTTATGTTTGCAATAAACGTTTAGTTAAAGTTAGGACTTGTGTCTTGTGTATAAGTTGTGCGTTTCCTACCAAGATGAAATTGAATTCATGATTATTAGAAATAGAAAAAGCTACCTAAAATTATTTGAAAGCAAGCCAGACACATCGGTACGAATATTTTATATTCTATGTTTATTTCAACGTCAATTGCTAGTAACGACGTGATTCTCGCAAGTGTTATCGCTTATAGAAATGCAAGCGAACGACAGACTGTGCTTATAATGCACAAGCAACGTAGGCGAAAGCAGTCACAGTTATGAAATGCAGACACATTACGGGCTAAGCTGGCATGACGTCTCTAATGAGTTTCGTTATTGTATTATGACAGTTGGAGGAAGAAGAAATGAAACATCATGCTACCACGCTGAGACTGAAACGGGACGACTGCGACAACGAGTGCACAAGACTCGACAAAGAATTGTCGCCGGCGTATAAGGGACCACGGCTTACGGAAGCGTACCCGAATTCCGTGTCTATCAGCTAGCTACGTGACCCCTACGTTTAAAGTTTATATATAATCATCCAGTTTGTGCGAACTGTGTGCTGTGACCATTGCAGTGTGCAAGGACGAGATCAAGTGAAGGTATACCTTGACGGCGAACTTTTTTTGACTGTTAGCCTCTACGTGGAGGATCCAATGAACTTGAACTATTTTCTTTTTGTACAGCAACGAACATACAAGCGAGCATTGCTCTCGTGCAAGAAGCTTACAGCTGCGTCTGAGCAGCCCACGGTGTGTCATGTGTTTTGCGGGCTTACATAACGTGTTATGCGGCATGTTAAGTACTTTTTAAAAAGTAACACTATATGTTGTAGTGCCGGCTTCATACTTTTACGCTGGTAAAAGTGTAAGCAAGTGACAAAGACATGGCTGATGCATCTGACGAATTAATAAGTATAACATAACAGTGAGAAGTGCCTTCACTAATGTAGACACGATTTAATGTGAATAGATGAATGAGAGTTTGTAATATGCGTAGTGGTGCTTGGCAACCACAGAACCATTTGACGTCGAAGCAATTACGCTGTCGCCTACTGAGACTTGCACATGGAGACGAACACTCATGATCGTTGATAGCTGTTAACATATACCTGGACGCATGCATCGTCTCGCGAATCACTTGCAAAGATGGCATAAACTAGCAGATGGGCAACAACAGTACCCGATATGCATTTATTCAAAGCGTCATCAAATAAAAAGAGAAATGGCAGGGTGTGCATGCGCTACCAAGTAATAGGTTAACCGAAGCCTGTTTTCATCCATACACCGCTACATTACGCTTCAGCAACAATAGAGCAGTCGAAATCGCTGCCTTTCTACGACGCCTATTGCAACAGTTTTATTAGTCGGTGCTATCGCATGAGAAGCAGTCACCGGCGGAGATGCAAAAGTGGAGCATCTGGAAGCTGCAATACACACTGCCAAAGAAATGTCACTATAACATAACATAATTGGGTCACTCGCGGATGCTGGTGCCGTGAGTGTTTTTAGCTGGTGCCGGTATGTTTTAACCATGGCCCCAGGTCTTGCGCACGCGAGATTCTGCACTGACAAAAACAAGCTAATGCGCAATGACGGAGATGGTGCTTTAACTACATCCTCAAATGGTACGCTATCGGTGCTCATAGGTGGCTCGCCTCATTACTTCTCTTAAAAGCTCAGATGACGGCACTTCCCCGCCCTGTTTAGGCCAACCAAAAGAAAGCAACATGCAAAAAAATTGCTCAAGAGATATAACGAGTTTTGTAGAGCGCATAGTGCGTGTTTGAGTGGCTTACTCAGTGCAGTGCCAGTCCCTTATCGGCGCGGACCAAGAGGTCCTACGTTCGATCCTTGGAGACCGAACACTTTCTTATGGTTTCTTTTTCCTTCATCTGTTAGCATACATCCTATCACCGTAATATGTGTGACAGAAACACGTCCATGAAATCTTGGTGGACGCCAGCAGGAAGCACTTTTGTGTTGAAGAAAAAGGGTGAAGCAAATAAATTAGGAAATAGCTTCGGAAGCTGATTGATTGATATGTGGGGTTTAACGTCCCAAAACCACCATATGATTATGAGAGACGCCGTAGTGGAGGGCTCCGGAAATTTCGACCACCTGGGGTTCTTTAACGTGCACCCAAATCTGAGCACACGGGCCTACAACATTTCCACCTCCATCAAAAATGCAGCCGCCGCAGCCGGGATTCGAACCCGCGACCTGCGGGTCAGCAGCCGAGTACCGTAGCCACTGGACCACCGCGGCGGGGCTAGCTTCGGAAGCTGAATTACGTTAAAGAATAAAGAATCCGGGTGTACCACCCTACTTTTGTTCGTCACGGCTGCTTCATAAAACAAAGGCACAAATTTGTTTCTCCTACAATGGAGGCCAAATTGAATGGTGAACTTTTTACGACATCACAGTGCTCTCTGGGGCAAATATTTAAACATCTACCAGTTTTCTCGTAATACACCTTGCCACATGTAGCACAAGTGCATAAATCATGCACCCCGACGGAACATGGCAAGAACTTGCGCGTGTGCTTAAACTTGCACGCTGTATCAGCCAAACAGATATAGCTCTGCATGAAACCCCTGTAGTCCGGCTTGTCATGACGATTCTGTTGATTATCTCGGAATTGCCACGTGTTTCGAACGCACTTTGTTTCTGCGCGAAATAAATTATTCAGTTGAGAGCCAGTGCTCGTGTCGTCAGTTTGTCGTCCTTTGCTTATGTCGCGCTGGACATCTACTCGAGCACAAAAAAATGCACGAGAAAACGAGTGGTCCAATACAAAGTATGAATATTGCATTTCAATTCGTTGTTCCTAATAAACCTCCTTTTGCGCTGCCACTTCCCGTAATCATTTTTTATTGATATAATATATAACGAGGTAATGGCGCACAATTATGGCGCTGGCTACTCCTTAGCCCTTGAGTGAAACTTGAACACGTACCTTAAAGTAAGAGATACAAAGCAGTGCATAGAAAGTAGAACATTTGGACACACATATGCAAAAAACTCACTTATACGCATATATCAAAGCAAAATTATACGGAAATGTTACAGTCAATGGTCTTCACTTTGCTCGTAAGTTTCTCAGCGTCGTACGTAGTTTACTGGTTTACTAAATACGACTGCCCTGGTGGCTTTACACCTAAGGAATCAACCAGGCAAATATCAGACCTATGCTCCATTGCGTATCTCGCGCCCAATGCGAAGCAACCACTGCAAGAAGTTCGGTCCGCAAAATCGTGTCAACCCGCGCATCTCGCTCTTTGATATAATCGTTGCAAACGTGACTTAACGTGATCCACTTCAGTTTCGCTCTTGTGAGCTACATGCATATGCCACAAATGAAGAACTAGCAGTTGCGTCGTGTATGAAAACAACCATTGAGCAAAGCTCCATAGAAACGGCACTCAAACGACTATGCGCCTGATGTCGCTGCTGGCTTTCGTGAGGACGGTATAAAGTTGGGAGTGGGTGGGGTGAGCGTCTGCTACGTTCGGTGGCCTGAACGACTGAGCGATTGACGGCGCGGCGCTGCGCGAGCCATTTGTTGGAAGCTCGAACCTGTCGCTTCTACCGGCGCAGACAGCTTCGACGGTGATGGCAGAGTGCCGGCCTAAAGAGCGTCGTTCCTAAAATGCGACTGTAGAACAAAATATTGACGGTGAAAAAAAAACAACATTGGGGCTTGTTTATTTTTGAGACACAAAATGTCTTCACTCGTTTGTGAGTCTTTTGTTAAAACGACAAAAAACAACAAAACAATCAGTAGATACGTAGTAAAATCAGAATTCGGGTGGTACGCGAACACATACACTGCAAAACACCTTGCTATTATTATTACGTAGCGTTG